ACTCCAAATATTTGGGAGTTAACATTTTATTGGCCTTTGCCTCTGTATTCATGTTCCCGTTTTATATGATTGCACATCTCTTTAAATTAGAGCGAAGCTCATTGTTTCACAATACAATAGTCAACAAAAAAATAAATATATCCAGAGAGACGCCCTAAAGACTTAAGCGAATTGTATTAACATAAGATAAAGTTTATGCAGTTACCTTAATTTCAATTCCACGCTGTTCACATTTAATATAGTAAGATCCAATTTTATATCTGCCTTCTATACCATTATCATCATTATGATCTATCTTGCATAGCAGGCATAAAGATTCATCAGTAATCCCATAATAATTAACATTTTCATTGCTATATTCGTAATATAGATAAGATATTGCTCCAATGTTTTGTTATGAAAATAAACAAGATTATGAGCTGGATTATTTTGTTTTTTAGATAAGGTCTTCTTGGTAATGGGGTTCAAGATAGACAGTGTACTAGTATTGACTTTTGTATCCGAAAAATCAGAGACTTGAGATATATTAATATTATCTGAGCTAGGTTCGATCACTTTTTTGTTCCAATTTGGAACGCAAATTATATTTGTATCAGTTGACTTTTTAGGAAAATCATTTATAATATTTTGAATTTGAGTATCTTAAACTTGAAATAGCACTTGCACTATAAGTCACTTGTCTGATTCTATCCATCCCTATTCCTTCAACTAATATATATATATTTTTAGCTCTGAAAGTTATTTTACGTAAATTTACATCAGTAATGTCAGGTAGAAGTGATTTAATTTCATTATATACCAATATCCTTGCAGATTTATTATTAATTTTATTTATAGATTTAATATCATTGATTCGATTCTCATATGCTTTATAGTAACAATACCAATATAAAATCTCTTTTTGTCTAATTTTCATTGCTATATTAAATAGGTCAACTATATTTTGAGCTGTAACTTTATTAGATTCTGTTAAAATCGTTTCTAAAGAAAATTCAGGAATTTGTATATCAAATGTATTATTAGATGTAATGAATGGAATACACGAACTTTGTTCGATCTGTGTACAAGGTGCATTAATTTCATCATTATTTTTAATGTAAACAGATATTTCATGTCTTAATCCCTATTCTACCTTCTGATTATAGGGAATTTTTGATATGAATGTATTAGCTCCTGCTATTTCAGAAAAAATGGCACTCTGTACTTGATTAATAGATGATTCAGGTTCGAGGCTAGAAGGCTTTATTTCTGAAATATTTAATTGACCTGATTCGGATGCAAAGGTGCCCTTACTCTGTGAGACAGAAATTTGAGGCGAGTCAGGACATGCATTCTGAGATTTTGATTGATCATTTTTCTGTTCAGAAATAATAATAGAGGAAGTATCTTGATCTCGAAATTTCTTTTTCCTATTTCTCTCACTCATATATTAACCCATTCCTTATTTCGCAAATCCAGAAATTCATTTTCTTCCTTCTCTTCCAATGATGTAGTTTCTGCGGGAATATGAAATGTGGGGGTCTTTGATTCCTGGTGTATATCAGAATTAGATGTGTTAGATTCCTCATTACGTGAGACTATCTGTTCAGAGACATTAGAGATATTATTAGAATTAACTTCAGAAGAGAAGTGTAGCTCCATTGCATTTGCAATAATAGCACTTTGCATCTGTTCTAAATTTACAAAATCAGTGCTATCGTGACTATTAATTGATAAGGTAGGCATTTGTGGAGTTACTGATAAGACTAAAGAAACTGGAGATAGTAAAGTAATATTAGTAGTTTAATTTTGTTTTATTATTTGTTTTAATTTTGTATTTTCGATCCTAAGATTAGCAATTTCTTCTATGATCTGTTTTAACTTGATATTTTCAACCTCGAGATTGGCAACTCGCTGTCTCAATAATTCAAGCTCTGATAACATGTTTGATAATAATTTTTATAAAAAACATGATTTATTTAAATTATTAAGTTAAAAAAATTACGTTTCCGTTCCAAATTGGAACGCAAATTACATGACTATATCGTAACACACTATTATCCCAGCATCACATTTGTAATCAACCATGATATAGCCCGTGATGGGCCTTGATCGGCGTTAGCTAGCATTTTATGATTAATTAACTAATAGAGATTTATATAGGCTAAGTCAATATAAGTTGATATATACATACCGAAATCTTTATTGCATGGAATGCATGATCTAGAATCGCTAAATTTTGATATGAGCTAGCATATACTGCCAAAGAAAATAATAAAAGCCATATACATTTTTTGCGAATCTATCTAATTATTTCACTATGACTCATCGGGGAGTAGATCCTCGGCCTTTAAACCATGTCGGGCGCATGACAAATCTAAAGAAAATACTCAATTAGTGAAGCTAGTACAAGATGCTAAGATCTGGTTTTAACTTATATATTAATACCATATAAATTACTTACCAACATAATTTCACCTACAATCGGATGATGCAGGTGGGATTCATATCTGCCATGACTTTGGGTTTGAAAGCTGAATCCAATGATTTAATCTACAGGCATCATTTAAATCTTGTTGGGGAATTGAAGGGACAACCGACCCATAAACATCTCTCTATTTATTCTTTACGATCTTTATATACATCAGTAAAATCTCATAGATAATGAAAGAACGAACCATGTACAAAATACACGATGCTATGCCTAATCCCTCGAGTTACTGAAAAATTTTCATGGAGGAGGAGACATGAAGAAAAAGCAATGACCTGCCCTGAACGAAGTGGAATAATAATCTGGAGTTGGGGAAAGCAAAGTTCGCCTCCATTAAAATCTCCAAGAGCAACCAAGCAACATAATGAATTCAGCTCATTATGCTCATCCCAATGAAAATCTCTTATAGTATTAAAATTAATCGCGATCATTGGAATAGTCTTGCTTGCTCAGGTGGTTGTCCGTACCAGTAATAATTCTATAAGGCCTTAATCTGAATTTAAAAATAAATAACATATATCAAAATGGAGATTTGGTTATCTATAGCAGGCTCGAATTACTTTATTTCTAATATTGGACATGTCAAAAATAGAAATGGCAGGATTTCAGAAGGAAGTATTTTGAAAGAGCATGGTTATATACGAGCAAATATTAATATCAATAGACTTAGTACAAAACCTTATATCCATAGACTTGTTGCAGAAGCATTTATTTCCAATCCAGAAAATAAGCCTTATATTAACCACAAAAATGGTTATAGAGATGACAATCGAGCAGATAATTTGAAATGGGTAACTCCTAAAGAGAATACTGAACGTAAGGTATTCCCAAACATGGTTGTGGCAGATCCAGAAAAATTGTTCAGAAAACTTTGGATGGAAACGTTGTTCAAATTTGGAATTCAATAACTCTTGCAGGTTATGCACTTAAGATTTCGAGAAATCATATTTCGGCATGTTGTAGTAGAAAGCGAAATATCGCTAGTGGTTGGTATTGGATGTATTATGAGGATTATATAGGACAAGACCCTAATGAAGAATTGAGAGAAATAGAGGTTGATTTACAAAAATTTCAAGTTTCATCTCTCGGAAGAATTCAGTTACGCAATGGTTTAATCTCTCGAGGATCATTATACTCAGGGTACCTCCGAGTTGAGAAATATTATATTCATCAGTTGGTAGCATTAGCATTTTGTTTAAAAGAGCAAGAAAAAGATTATGTAAACCATTTAAACGGACATCCCACCAATAATAAAGCTTCGAATCTTGAATGGCGTATCCCGAAAGAAAACTCTCAGCATGCTGTTTACCTCGGACTTTGGGGTCATTGTCATTGACGTGCCGTCAAACAGGTTTTCGATGATGGCTCTACTCAAGAATTTCAATTCATATCTGAAGCACAACGCATAACTGGAATTGATGGATCATATATTGGAAAAGTTTGCAAAGGACATAAAGCTCATGCTGGTGGATATTATTGGGAGTATATAGACAATAAGTATTGAGATATATGTTCTTCAGCTTAATTGCACTTTTTACTTCATTCGAATGAAGTTCTGGAATCTGGTCCTAATGTATAATCTGCATTTCCATACCTAAAATTTTATTTGCGGATTTATTTCGTTTAGTGATGATGTAAGATATTTTTGATTAGATCATTTTTTTTCGTTCAATTTTCTTTCACTTACGTGAAGAGGATAAAAGAACCAACAAGTGAAACTCACCTTATTTTTATATGATTTGTAGCAATATTCGTGGTCCAAGGATCCTAAATATTTCGACTGAAAATCAAATATGATTGACAGATTAACGAATTACTCCACATTTGAAAAAAAATATTGTTAAGCAGATCACACGGGATTTAGTATAACTTTATTATTTTTTTCATTAACATTAAGGCTAGAAGGCCATTACAAATGCAAAAACAGAGAATAAATGCTTATAATAAATATTTACGCTATGTGAACATCAGTGGTGGTGGATTTTCATAATCATCACTAAACTGTCTAATAAGTTGATCTATTTGTGGTTGTTCATCTAATCTACACGAGTTTCTTAACATCCTTAACCCTCTGCGGATATCCATATTTAATAATTCCTGTCTTGACATGTCACCAACAATGTCTGCTATTCTGTCTTCATTATCAGCTTCAGGTATGTGTTCGAAAAACTTCGTTCTCTTTTGAAGAGGTGCAGGTAAGTTGACTTCTACTTGATAGTCGGCATCCCTCCCTAACCAATTAAAAAGCTTGTTTCCTTCTTCAAGTACAAACTGTTTAATTACCGCCAAGGCAATACCACGGTCACCAATTTTAGACTTTGCTATGCACTTTTCACTGTTTCTATCTCCTACCGTCACGAAAAAGAAAATATTCCAATTATCATTGCAATCTGTCAGGACGGTCATCGAATTTATAGGATGGAGTTTATCTATTAATAACAACTCTCCCACGGCTTGACCTCCTTTAAAATCCTCTTTTCTTTTCTTAGTTTTAATCCAGACGCAATCCGTATCAGTTGGTCCAATGGATATGTCGGCGCCACCCGTTAAAGTGACGTTCGCTTCTCGCAAATTGTGTTGATGGTTCACCTGTGTATGGATATCTTTCACATGGAAATTCCTTGGTAACCCCAGTGAATTTTTAAGCCATGTCTTAACATCATGCATCTGTTGAGCTTCCTCCCTTTCCATATCCCATACGAACGGTTTATATAATATGGGTTGAAGTGGTTGGAAGTCTTCCTCTAATAACTAGACAATAGATAAGTAATAGGTAATTATATTAATAATATTAATAATACATATTTCTATAAAAATATAAATTAATAATAAAAGTGATAGGAGACGCTAGATAATAAAAAGTACTTACATTTACAGTCTTTATTCCAAGATCACTCAAGATTTTATTAATTTTTGTTTCAGAAAGATTGGATACTGAGATCTGATCAGCAGGTTTTTGCCGAGACAATGCTTTCTCTACCGCACTTTCTACGATCCTACCTAAATCTTCTGGTGATTCTTCATGTTTACGTTTTAATGTCACTGTAGTAAAAGCCAATATCGCAAAAACATATAACTATTTTAACCTGTTAATCATCGCTTCTTTCCCGATACATACCAGGTGCATTTACAATGACTTGTAGAGGTGTGTCATAAGTATTTACAAAACTTTCATCAACAGTTAAATCCGCACGCAAGTCTGCTTCTTCACCGTGTTTTCTTAAAGTGATGTCGTAAGCATCAATGTCGCCCAATTTATTTGGCAGTTCCTTCTTGATCGCTTCTATCAGATCGTCTACAATCTCTCCGTCGAAGGTAAGTCTAATTGGTCGACTGTCACCATACTTGACCCAGATTTTAGAAGGGGTTGACGAAGAACCTAAGTGAAAACCCTCGAGACCTATTTTTTCGCAAAGGTAATGAGTGACTCCTTTACAAAAAATATTTATAATAAGTTTGCCTTACCACTAGATAGTTCCGTTCGTAGGGGAGGAGCATTTTCAAATATTTCGACACCTCTGTCTTGTGCGGTTGTACCAGAAGTGCCAGATGTACCAGCAACAGTAGGTGGAACGTCCTCTACGGAAGATATTTTTCATTAAATATAATGAATTGTTTCTTCACAAACAATGCTCGAAAATACATGTACTTTACTTGTAACTTTTTTTTTCTGAGACTTTTTCGATTTTGGTGGCATCGTTTTGAAAAGTGTTACGGGGCACAACATCATGATTGACACTTATCATGTGTATTACAGCCAATAAAATCGATTGTTGCGTCATATTACGTATTTATATTTTCCGATACAATAAAAGCCCGATATGGACAAGCTTTATTATTTAATAATGATAAGCGTCAAGCTCTACAATACTACATATAAAAAAAGTGCTAAACTTCGAGAATGCGTCATTATGGCTCGATCTCAGAATTCTGCCATCACATGACCACTACATTTTATACTTGCGTATTCTTTCTAACATGAGATGCTACATATTTGATATTATCCGAACTTAAATTTGAAATAGATGTT